CTAGCACAACATTTTCTCATGTTAACAACAGATTAGAAAATTGCTGTGCAATTAATAACGATAATCATATTGATAATCATATTTTGGCTGCAAAATGTTTACAAACTCAAATGTTTTCAGAGTCTATTTCTTTCTAATATTGTCGATTTAGGCAATGCATCCATAGTTTCCATACAACGAGTTATCTTTTGGTATTTTATGAAAAGTTCTCTTGGCCYCATCGACGATAATTCCTSAATAKRCATGAYAAAGTCGAATRCAACTTTTTCCTTTKATTTTTTTCTTGCTCGGCAATTTTCTTCATCCATTGTGAACACGTGGAAATGTAACTATCAAGCCAAAGCCTTGCTATGGTTCTACAGAACCAACTTTCTCTGACGATTCATTTCTTAGCCTGCATTTCCTCYAYCAACTCTTAMWGCACGYATAGGATTACTAACTSTATATCCTCCGTTTCTTTGTGACTTCAGATGGCTTTATGCGGTCGTTGCAATGACAACGCGTACAGTGCCGAATCGCTGCCTATGGCGGGTAAGGTGTGGCATCGTCGTTGTTTCTCGTGTGCTGATACAAAATGCCGAAAAAAACTCGAGAGCACAACTTGTTGTGATGCTGCAGGTAAGGCAAAAAAAAAGCGAGATTCTATATTCAATGTAATGAAGAAATTAATAATAATATTATTAATATTATAATAATATTAATAATAACTAATAAGTGTTATAAAAAATGACACAAAAAAGACATAGAGAAAAGGCATAATTTTCTTCAACCTGGGACAAAATGACCATTTRAATATYATACTWCAGTCAACTCTCGCCTTACRGACACCCCGCTACAACGGACACCCCGCTACAACGGACACCTCGATATTGYGGACAGTAAAATATTGAATCCCTGGTAAAAAATTCAAAGAAATGACTGAAAGTAACTCTCGTTACTACKKACTCTCGCTACTGCGGACACTRRATTACGGTCCCGAGGGTGTCCGTAATAGCGAGAGTTGACTGTATATG